AAGGCAGTGTACTTTTAAAGTCAGATAAAAATATATTTGTTTGAGACTTGGCCATCATTTAAATGAACATTGGAAAAGTTTTTTATTTCTTGCATTGTTCCAAAAAAAACTTTATCATTTGGATTACATTCAAAAATCCTGTTGTTTTTAAATAGACAAATTTTAGTATCTGTTTCCATTGAATAAGAAAACATTGTAATTTCAATTTTAATAGTATTGTTATGAATTTTGTATATGTATATAAATAATTTTAGTGAAATTGTAGTATCTTTTGCATAATGTTACATAAAACGTTTGTAAAATAGCAAAGGTCTGCCGCAAAAGTAAGGTTACAGGGACAGGTCTTATTTAACACTGAGGTAAATGGCTATCTTGCTAAATTAGCATAGGTTTTGGCTCTAACGTGTATCACCAAATTGGGGAGAAATTGCCAAAAGTCATCAAACTTGATGACATTTAGGTCTGATCCCTGTAACTAACTAGTACTGTATAATATGTTTCTGCCTCCTTCATGGCATGCCTTCGTGGTGTAAATGGTCAGCACGCTTGGCATGTATTCGAGAGGTCCGAGGTTTGAGTCCCAGCAAGGGTATTGCTCATTTTTCATATCTCCTGCTTCAAAATAACCTAATGTCTTTACAGCTGTAATTAAATAACCAAATATCCACATATGTAATATCCCCTCAGCCTTTTTATCACTGTTTTAAAAACAGTCCCAAGGTGACTATAGTTTAAAAGAAAGACTTTACCACTGAGTTGGGTTTAATGACCACACCTTGTTACCTTCACTGGGTTTTCACTGGTTCACAAGCCTCCAAATTGACTCATTGTAGTGCAAAATTGTGCATCACTTCAAACTATTCCTGGAGATCTTGAATTTACACCTCAAGCAATGAATGTGCATCTAGAGGCAACTAAAGAAGAGAGCACAAGGGAGATAAAGGTCACGACCTAAGAGTGTCTGGGATGGGCAATAGCCAGTAATCTCATGGACAGAACTGCGATAGGCCAGTAAGAAGAGAGGTAACTTCTGGTCCTGTTGGTTTCTGGAAACCATCAGCGAGAGGTTATTAAGGATGGTTCAATTAAACCTCTCTACCATACCATCTGACTGAAGATATAAAGGTGTCTTCTTAGTTTTATCAATGTCTAGTAGCTTGCAGAGTTCTTTGATTACAGCCAAGATAAAATTCCTTCCTTGATTAGAATGTAGCTGAAGAGACACTCCAAACCTTGAAAGCCAGTTCTGTATGATGTAAAGGTATCTTCTTAGTTTTATCGATGTCTAGTAGCTTGCAGAGTTCTTTGATTACAGCTAAGATAAAATTCCTTCCTTAATTGGAATATAGCTGAAGAGACACTCCAAACCTGGAAAGCCAGTTCTGTATCATTACCTCTGCTACTGTGACAGCCTCTTGATCAGAGATAGGATAAACTACAGGCTACTTTGTGAAGTAATCAAAGACAATGTGAATGTATTTGTTGCCATCAGCAGCTTGTGACAGACATCTCAGAATGTCAGATGCCATGCATTTAAAAGGAACTACATTGTAACATTACAGCTTCCCTTGGCTGCATTTCTCTGGTCCTTTCTGGCCCTCGGAGGCATCATGAGATTGGCACCACTTTCGCACATCAGCTCTTGTATTATTTTGAGTCTCTGTGGTGCAGTGGCTAGCACATCCTGCAGCAGCACCTCAAGTCCAGGGTTCGATCCCCGGACTGGAGAAGGTCGACTCAGCCTTTCATCCGATGATTTCCATCCCTTGGATCGATAAAATGAGTACCAAGTTCGCTTGGGAACTAAACACTAGGGGTCCTGCGACAAGCTGACCACTTGTTCAGGGCATGTGCTTATGCAGCCCGGTGCTTACGGTAAAGAAAGTAGATTTCGGGGCACTGCTGGCCTTGGCCCACTAGGGCTGTTGTGCCACTGAGTTTAGTTCTTGTATTATTTCAGAAGTAACGTTCTAGAACTCTATGCTCTTCATAATTCTAAAGTGGCCTCCCATCGGATTGATATGTAATTCTTTAAGGACATTCGGGATCCGGGATCTTGGATGTACTAGCTGCCATAGGAATAACTTTCTGTCATCCAATTCGAACTTATATTACAAGATGCTGTTTCAAATACGGGGCGAGTTCCAGATGCAGAATATTGTTTCGTCTTAAGACTATAGATCAGTATGTCCTCGAAGTAAGTTTCCTGTTTAAAGATTCTATTACTTTTAGCATGCGTTTAATTTCACTGTCTTCCAACCAGTCTTTCCTGACTCCTTGATCTTCATGGATCTGGGTCAGATGATGTTGAAGTTGTAATTTGACATATGACGAAATTAACTAGCTCGTATTTCACTTCAACACTGGAACACTATTGGAAGCTTTTCATTAAGGGTCTTCTGGTCAGGGTGCCGGCATTTTTGTGTGGCATTTCTCTTTTGAGAATAGATAGAGATGTCACATTGCTTGAGTCTCCTTCTATCTGGCCTACTGGATTCTTGAAATTTAAGAACTAGGACAACAGTGGATGATCTGTGTGCACCAGGACGTTTTTCTGCTCAAGAATAAATAGTTTGTTCAGGTGAGGATACTTCAGGACTGTCGCAGATGTTAAAGCTTCCTTCTCATTGTTAAACGCATCTTTACATTCTTTTTTCCACAAGAAATTTAGCGTGCTGTTTGTCAGTTTGTAAGGGATTTTATGTTAGGTTATGTTATGGTATATGTTAAATTTGTTTTATGTTAGGCTTTCCAAAGACACAGACTCTGGAAGACTGTGGGTTTGTTTAATGCAGGTCACTGAAGTATATGCTACAGCCATTTCACCTTTCCAAATAACATGCGTTTTATCGCTTATATTGTCAACTCTTACCAGCTCTTCAGTAAGTCGATGAGTGTTGAGGCTACTAGTACTCCTTTCAGGGTGTTACAGTTTCTTAGGATATTCCAGTATGCAAATTTCTATTTCAGCTGTGCTTCCAGGTAGTAAAAATTCTATTCTTTCTTGTATAGTGATATCATTTTTAGCTGTTATTTGGTAGACGGATTTAACATTCATGTTTAGTTTGGAACAGGGTTATGTCCTCACAGGCAGAAACTGTTCATTATTTTTAAAATACAAGGAAAAATTATATTTCCACTGAAAGTGTAAGCTGAGTATGCAAGAGTCTGTTATATTAGCTACATATGCTGTGTGATGGTAGGTGGTACTCCCAAACGTGATATTAACATCTAACTTTCCATCCTTTTTGATTTTATCAACGGACACAGTCTGGAGGGTACTGCAGGTCACCATCCACATAAGATTACTTTCCAGCTGTTAAGTACACTGCTTTTAGATAATGGTGACACTGGCTTCTGTATCGATGGTCATATTGCAAAGAACTCTATTTATGTCCAGTGATAAAGAATGAGAACCTCTAGCCTGCGAGATGGCCACTAATTTGTTTCCCTCCATCTTGCTGGGAGGTAGTCTTATTTTCCATGGCTTGGTATGTTCTGTAGTTTCTACATATGTGGCCTTCAGCATCGCAGTTACAGTCAGTTTCCTCTCACTTATTTTCCACTTCAGGATAATAACCTGCCTGGTTAAGTCATCTAGACGAGCAGTCATTTAATCCACGAGCTCCTGGACTAGAGCAGCTCTGATCGGGTGGCTATCTCTGCAATGTGCTTACTGGGAAGTGGATGCTGTCTCCAATCTTGTATAGTTTTCCTCCGGCAGCAGAGAAATCTGTAGTACCTTCTATTTCTCGAAATTACTGGAAGTCATATGAGGGCTGGATACGGTTATTGTTGCGTTTAGAGATTGCAGTTATTCATTTACTTTACCAAGTTACATGGTGACTGCGCAAAATATTGCCAAGATTGTAGACTTTTGTCTTTTGTTTGGAGACAAAAATTTGTTGCCAAAACCATTGCCAATTTGACGATATCTCAACAATTTATTGAGATAGCCGTTTACTCAATGTTAAATAGACTTGTCTCTGTAATCTTATTTTTTACTCTGTAATCTTATTTTTTAATCATCTCTTTGAAGTATTTCATGTTACATTATACAAAAGAATATAACAGTTTCACTTTTTTTTTTTTTTTTTTTTTTTTTTCCAGTCTCATTTGTACAGAATTTATAACAATATTATGATGTATGCTGTGTTGATTTTTTGGTTTATATGATTTTATGTTCTTCGTGGGCAATTTTTGCTAGAGCTCAGACAAATCTCCCATTGAAAAAAAATCCTCTTTTCCCATGTTTAGAATTAAGAACCCATGTGTAATGCTGTTGTAGCTTCGTTCTTATGATAAGTTGCATGGGTATGAGTCTTTTTAATTATTACTAACCCAAAAGCGCTGTCTCAAAATAAGATTTTGCATTGTTTCACTGTTCATTTGAGTCTGTTGCCATTTGGAAAAATGTAAGATGTAATTCTTTTTCTTTCATATTTAATCAGTCTGTTATTAATTAACAAACTAAACTGTTTAAAATAAATAAATGCAATTTTTAATAATCTGATTGATTTAAATGAAATTGCATTTATATCATATCTAAATGCAATTTCATTAATTAAATATTTTTATAGAATTACATTATGTGCCCCCCTTACGCCTGAGTCCTATTAAGAATCTGTCAGACTTTATAAACAAAGTGGGTGACACGAACAAATAGAGCTAGGAAGCATTGGATTTGATGCATTTGGCACAAAATGTATTTAGCTGGGTGTCTGATATACGAACAAACTCAACCTGAAGTAGAAGATGGCCTTTTTTAAATTTACAAAAGGTGTATTATGTTCCCATGTTAGTCTAAATGCATATTCATCTAATTTCCTGTAAAATGTTTCACTATTCCACCTGGACCATGTCTATTGATAATACCAACTGATAAACCATATTAAACTTTAAAAGTGCCCTTTTGGGAAGGGGGTCATTAAAATCTGTACCCTTTCAGGTTTTTTTTAAATTTTGATTTGTATTAATTTTTTTTTTAACTTTATTTTTAGATACTTAGTTGGAAAAAGACTTGTAAATTATGAGCACCGAAGGCTTGCCAATGTTACAACTCCAGTCACAGATGAAGATACTGTAGCATCATGAGAGTGTAATATAAACATCTTAAAGAACTGTATAATTAAAAAAGAAGTTTTAAGAATAAATGTTGATACCTTTTTGATTGTAAATATGAAACTTGTTAGGGTATACCAAAGGATTGAAACAAGGATGAAGATGAGGAAAAAATTACTTCACTAAGCAAAAGCATTTTAGTGATATTTGCTTGTTAGTTACTGAGAAATGAGAGAGTCATCCCCGTAGAAAATTTGCTTGCATTATCAATGCCTTGATCTGGATTTGCTTTCAAATGTCACTTGGATTTGTATCTACTTGGTGCAGTTTTTTTTTTTTTCTTTTCTTATATTAATTCAACAATTCACTTGAAATTTTAAGAATGAATTGTCATTTTGTGGTAGATACTGTTGTTCTAAGATTATTGTATTGAAAATAAGTGGCTAAATACCTATATCCCAAGTGTTCAAATAGCTTGAATGATGTTTATGTATTTCTGTATGTGAATAAGTTGTGATTTTTATGATTCAAGTCATGTGTGGATTTTTATGTAAGAAAGTAATTTTTAATTCCCTTGACTGTGATGCTGAATCAATGCCTATCCAATGTAATCGTTTATATGATGCATGTTTAAATACTTTGCACTTGATCTCCAAATCCTTAATAATTACAGTAATTCTTGTGTTTCCAAGTTTATATTCCTTTTTGCATGTTCCAGTATATATCATTTTCCAGTATGTTTTCTTAATTAATTTATAGTACTGCAACAAAGAAGGATGTATCAGTTAGTCATGGTTAATCATCTAGATGTTTGGATGGAGAGTCAGTTATGTAAAAAAAAGTATATGTGTAATTATTTATTTAATATATAAAAGCAGTTTTATAATAATTTAATTTTAAATGTGAATCAAAATGAGCAAATCATGGAAATAGAAGGAAATGATAATTTTCTGTATTGTGAGAATTTTAACTTAACAGTGATTGCTAATAGATAGACTCTGCTTTTTTTAGTATCATTGTCAACATGTTATATGTTTCATATTTTTTGCTTTTCCTCACATCCATAGGCTTTGACTTATTTTTAATTTCCAGTTTTTAATTTTATCACTTATAACTTGTTTTGAATTTCTTTTCCTGTAATAAGGATATTTGCTGAAGTTTGTCACCACTGTAACATAGGTTTTATTTGCAGCTGTATTCATTTAAAATATCATATATTTCTTTGAAGGTCAAAATAACTTACTGTTTGTAATAATAAAAAAATTATGTACTTCATAATTCTATTGGAGTATATCTCTGAAAAAGTGTGGAATTATCAGTATTTACCGGTGTGTGATTTATTTATATTTATCCACTTAGGGTTTTTTAATGTCTCTTAGAAAGTATATTAAATGTGTGTTGATTCATTTATGTGTTTCTGAAGAAAGTAATGTTGTGTAACCTTTCTACTGCAATATTTAATGTTTGTTTTAACTTTGTGAGAAAAATTCAATGTAAGAAAAGTGCTGGATTATGCAGCAAGTATCACATCAAATATTAAGTTGCATATTAACTAGCTTTCACTGGATTTTTTTAGATCTGTCATTGCAGTATATCTCAGTGTTAAACCTAAATATATTTTTCATAAGTGCTTTACTTGAGAATTGGAGAAAGAGCATCGTTTCTTCTGGCTTTCATGATGTCTTGAGTTTAAGGGCAGATGTATTGTCATATTTCATTATTATGCCTTTCTAGAATCTTTAAAATTTTATGGGATACACCTTGTTATTATTAAAACCCTTTGAAACTACATATAGATGTCTGTATGCTTATTTGTGATTTTATTGTTGTAAAATGGCCATTTCCAAGTAATTAATGGCTTGAGTTTTTATTTTTTATTTGCAATTTGTTCCATATTGTTCTAAACTGAACTGTAAGATAAATTCATGTATTACATCTTCCCCTCCCTTTATCAGGCCCATATTTAAATTTAAAATAAATAAAAAGAAAATGTATTTATTTAATAATTACCACAAGTGTACAGAACACCATGAAATATAAAGTTTAAAATCAATACTCAATCGAACAATAAAAAAAGTTTATCTTTCTTTTTAGGACTTGATATTTTGAGGTGGACTAGTCATAATGCTGCTCAAATCTGTAACAATCTTCTGTATAAAGTTTTAAAAATCATTCAATGATCAACTTTCTTGTTTCTAAACTGTATATTGTTGCTCAAATCCTGGCTGACTGTTAAATTAGTCAAAATAAATTTCAAAAAAAGAAATTCAACCCTTTTGACCCAATTGTTATATTTATATAGCAGAGAACAGGCTGGTTATTATATTGTTTAATATCAGTTGTTAACAATATAATAATAAGTTTAATTGTTGCCAGCCTGTTTTTCTTAATACTTCTGATACACTGTAAACTTAAAATTCTGTGTAAAGCTAGGATTTTTTTTATGTCTCTTAAACAGATTCATAGTATGAGTTATAGGTGCTCATCTGAGTCAAAACATGAAAACTCTAATTTTTTTCGTTCTTTATATGCCTTGACATTTGTAAATAAAGTGATTTTTTGTTTGGGCATTTTAAATTGTTTTAAAATCTTAATTTTGATAGTTTATTATCTTTATGAACTTGGATTATTGTAATTCTTCTGTTTCACATCCTTATTGCTTATGTATATTTATTAAAATTATTTAACAAAAAACACATTTTTAGGGGGAAGGAAGCATCATTTCTAGCACTGATTTTTCTGTGTATGTCTTGTATTTAAAATTTGAAAGAGGAAGTGGATTTTTGTTGATGAGCTTTTTAGTGCATCTGATATCAATTACATGCTATAGATTAAAATAGTTATTTTGTCTCCTAATAAAAAAAGTAGTGCATCCTTTTTTTATAAGACACTATATTTACTGAAATGGTTATTATCCCTGTATATGCTGAACACATCTGCATGTTCTGAAATAATTAATTTCCAGCTTGCAACCTGTGCTCTTTATTGTAGTTGTATTGTTGTTTTACTGGATGGTTGAATAACACTATTATGTTGTCACACAGTTAGTTGTAAATTTCAGCATTCAATTACTTTTCTTATTCTTTACTTTTAAATACTTTGTTTAAGAATTTCTTGGATAGAATGTTTATAATTGTAATGTCTATTTACTAAAGGTATCTTTATGCAATTTAAGTTTCCCAGTTGGTTTTTATAAGCTTTAGTTACAAATGTAAATAATTATTCTGTATCAGCTATTTGCTTGATGTTTCAAATGATGTAGTTTATTTCAAGCCAGAAGCACAAATTAGTGCTTATAATTTATTTCTGTTGAACGTGTGCAATATGTTTGAGTAACATTCTGTTGCATAACATGTGTATATTTAGTAAATAAAGTGCTGAGTTTTATTTGAATTTTGAGTACTGAGTTTGAAATGTTTATCTGGAAGTTATTTTTCTTCACTTAAAAACACTGTGTTGGTATGTATTCTGTTTTGGAATTTATATACATCTGAATTACTTCATCTTAAATCTCAAAAAGAAGAGGTTTTTTTTTTTTTTTTTACCCCAAAGGAGTGTTAGGTGAAAAGGGTTATTAGTCTTAAAACGCCATTTTGCATTGAATCATTAAAAATGGTGAATCACTTTTCAGATTGTTGCACCAAATATTATTGCCCTGTATTATATGTAAAGAAATTAAATAGTGAAAAATCTGCACGAAGGTATGTATTTTTCTTACATTGTGAAAAAAGCAGCAGTATTAGAGCTATGAAATTTTGAATTGCATAATCCTCCAGCCAGATATGGGTACCTTGAATTTTGCGTTTGTTTTATTATCTATTTTAGATTTTGTAAAATTTTTGTTTACAAATTCTGCGATTTCAAAGTGACTGTGGCAATTTGTATGGAATAAAACATTTTTATCTCCAGTGTGCAAGACAGTTTATACGAAATTCTAAAGATATTCTTTTTTCAAATATTTTTAGCCCAAAGGGGCATTAGCCAAAATGCTCTCGCAATGTGCATGTAAATGAAAAATCTGAAAGCTTTCAATTTTTTTTCCCCCTTTTCTTTCTTTTTTAAATATATATAAGTATTTAATTTTGAGTAAATGCTTTAACAGGGTTCATACTAGGGTCCTTAAGTTTTTTCAAATCAATTTTTGGTCCTTAATTTGGGCCAAAATCAGTAGAAGGTCCTTAATTTTAATCATCTGAAATTTCTGTCTGTTTTTACAACTACCATTTTGAGTGTGAATTAGCATTTTGGAGGAATATTTTTGGCAATTTGCTGACAAATATTGTTATCTTTTTAATGTGTGAATGTGTTTATGGGTTCATTTGTTCCTGTTTCTAATATAAATGGTAGGATAGAATTTCTGAGCAAGAAGTGAAACATAAGCATTTCGAAATTATTTAATTTTTTCTAGTGAAGAGCTCTTAAACAACTTTTCGGGATGTGAATTCTTTTATTAAATTTCTCTAAATTTGGCAACTTATCAACATTTTAAGATCAGTTTCTATAGAAAATTTTTAATTCTGAGATCTGGAAATTTTTCAACGATTTTTTAGAACATTGTAACATTGATAATTTCATTAAAATAATAGTAATATATTGTATTTATATTTAAGAAATAACATTAAAATAAAGCATTTTAATTTTTTGCTGTCATATTATAAAGTTCCATTTTGGCCACTTAATATACAATATTTTGAATTTGAAAAATCAGCGAGGTATAATGTTATAAAGCACAATTTACGAAACAGTTCTTAGCAAAACACCTATGTAATTAATTATTAATTTAAAATGTCTTTTTAATTTTTTCATGGTAAGAGTTTTCCCGTGTAATTATCTCATAATTATCAGAATATGTATTAGTTTTCTCAATAAAATTAATTTTACACTTTTTTCCTCCGGATTTTTTTTTTTTTTTTTTTTTTTTTTTTTTTTCCCCAAAATATTTCTGGCTCTTTGCTGTTACCAAATTTGTAGGGGTAATTTTTGTTTAGGATTTTAGACATTGCAGCTTGGAAAGTTTAGAAAGATTTGAAGGCAAGAGACCTACGATTCTGGAAGATTCCAGATAAATGTGACAAAATGAAAAATGTCTCCATGGTATTAATTCATAATTTCTTACTTTTTGGAGAACATCTGGAAGAACAATGAAAACATAATAGTTGAATGTTTTATTTCTGATATATTTTTATCTTCTCTTTATTTTTCTATTTTTCACTAGACACAAGCATGGAAAATATCAAAAATGCTTCTAATCTTATATGGACAGGCATTATAGGAAAAAAAAAAAAAAATTTAGTAAAGAAATTAAAAACTTACAATTTAAATGATTCATCTAATATGTCTTAATGCATCATACACAAAGCTAGCACTAGGCATTTTCCCACCTGATGCAATCTCTGTGAATCCTAAATTCTGCTGCCTGGTGTCTGTTCTAAATTCTGTTCTATTCTCTTCATTTCTAGATTTTGTTGCTCCATGTGTCACTAAATTCTAAAAATTCTGCCGCACCTTACCATATATATTTCGTATTTCTTCTGAATGTTCATATTATTATAGAAATAAAATTAGCAGCTTTCTCTATATATTCTAAATACATTTAGTTTTTTTAGAATAACAAAAATCTTTAATGAAATCCAAAAATTCTAAAATGAAAAGGAAACGTGGAAGAAAGAAACTAAATACATTAAGAGAAAGGGAAATTATTCTTCAAAGATGTGTACAGATATTATTATGTAAATCACCTAGTTGCCTTTACTATAATTTATATTTTCTCACCAGAATGCAAGTTACTTAGACAGTTTTTTGGAGTATAAGACCAGAGTGTGTTTCTGAACTCCACTTGCTTCCTGCATTAATTCCTGCCAGCTCTGATAATTTGTAATTATTTGTCTTTACATTACTGCTGCTGACATATGAATTAGTTGTGACAATAGAGTTCCTGAGCCTGCTTAAAATAAATTTACCGTATTTATGCGAATCTAATGCGCATCGTTTTTGGCCAAATGAAGTATTCAAAATTGGGGTGCGCATTAGATTCGTGTGCAAAGTTCGCCGATGGCGTCGACCAAATTTAAATCGTAACAATGGATTACTGTATTTCTCGACTACATTTACCGTTACATTTATCGTTGACACATTATTGCATAGAGAATACAAACTGCAGAGTACGTAGTTACGAAATGGAGGGCAAACAAAGAAGAATGTCATATGACGCTACTTTCAAACGCAAAGTAATTCTTTATGCTGAAAAAAATGGCAATAGAAAGGCAGGGAGAGAGTTCAACGTAGCTGAGAGCAATGTTCGCTTGTGTTAGTGAATAACACAAGAAATAAAGACGTTTACTATTAATTACTAATTGTAGAAACTATTAGCTAGATAGAAATGTTACGATTTATTTCATGTTCATATTTTACGGTAGGTACCGTATATACGGTAGTGGTAATTAACAATGATTGTTACACATAACAATAGCCCACTAATAGGTTAATTCTATGTTCTGCTACTTTTGTATAAATTATGGTATCTAAATTTAAATAAAATTATCATACCATTGATTGATAGTTTATATACAAATCCATTGTTACATAAAATAAGATTCAATAAATTCCTCGTACCATTGATACGCATTAAATTCGCCGACAAACAATTTTTTTATTATTTGAAGTTTTAAAATGGGTATGCGCATTTGATTCGCATAAATACGGTAAATTGTGTAGTTTTGATCACTAGTTCATTTTTTTAGTTTGAATTTGATTCTTCTTGTTTAATTAAATCACCATGAGCTGTAATTGATTTTGTTAGCCTAAGAACATGCCTTTATGTTCTAAGTTCTTTCTAAATAAGAAGCTTATTTAAACCTTTGTCGTTACTTTCAGATATAGCAATAATTTGGTTCACATCTGTCCATAGGGTTTTGGACTATTTAACTTTTACCAGATCAAGTAAACCCTCGTAGGTACATTTTGGAGAGGTTGACAGATTAGGGGATAAAACACGCAGGAACTAGTGAGAACATTTTCTTGCGTATTGAGAGAAAGTTCTAACTGCTAGAAAAGTTGCTTAAAGAGAAGGAAATTGATATAAATTAGCCAAAATGCCTGGGAAGGCTTCAAATTATAAAGATTCGTAAATATGTTGAGTGTTGTTGCTTACAAAACATAAATATTTTGTAGCTTTTAATGTGTAATTATCCTAATATTGTTTAAGAATCAATGTCATAAATTACATGTGTTTTAAACTGTGAAATTTTATTAGATTGAGATTTTAATAGGGCCTTTTTTAACAAATATTGTTAAAAAATAAATAAAATTTAATAGTGTCCATGTAAATCCATAATGACTAAGGTTATCTAATACCTACTGTAATTACTTATAACTAACTGGTTACCCTTAAAAATTATCTCTGCATTTTAAAGCGAGTTATTGCCTTTCATTAACCCTTATCGTGGTCACTAAGGTAAAACACAAAAATGTAAAAATTCACGTAAAACCTATTCTTCGCATTTAGTGAGACTTAAAATAATGTAAAACAATTTATCACCTCTGGTGCTTTAGTGGATTATTAGGGCCTTAAAGTATATTAACTGAGTTACAACCCCTGAAACTCTACAAGAAGCTGTGACACTAACTGCATCAGACAGAGCCCAGCTAACTTGCAAACCGTGCTTATATCAGGCCTTTCAGGTTTGTTCTGATCAGCAGTTTTCTCTCTAGGCAAGCAGGAGTGGCAACAACAGCTAGTCTTTTGTTATGAATCATGCTGATTATGATCTTACTTCTCATTTTAACCTATGCTGCTTGACATAAAGTCTATTTACTATACTAAACCCCTAGATTGAGTAAGTATGTAACAAAATGAGACATTAAAAAAAAATCAACAAAGCTAACTGCTAGTAAAACCTAAATAAAATGTCACTTATCTTCTTTCAAATATGTCCAGTTATTATGATTATAAAATGTTTAATGCTACTTGATAAATTTCATAAAGTTTATATTATTCTCAAACTTATTAATAATTATGTTAATTATCTTTAATAATAACGCATCCTACTTATGGATCCATTTTATTTTTAGGATGGTATTACAAAAGTGAACTTCAGCTTAGATAATATTTTTAATTGAATTTATTCAGTTCCTATTTGCTTATAGGTCCTTGATTTTTTTCATTAATGGTCCTTAAAAGTCCTGAAAAGTACTTAGAAGTACTTATTTCCCTGTGCAGAAAAGTACTTATTTCCCTGTGCAGAAATGTGTATGAACCCTGTTTAAGATTAGTCCTAAGGTAAATCAACTAGTGTCAAGAGCTAGAGTAGTAGCTCAAGTAAATATTAGATTTGAATTCAATCCACAGTCCCATGTGCACTTCAAAAATGGCATTAGATTGCAGCAAAATTTTT